CTCCAAGATAGGAAGAAAACAAGGGAGCAAAATACCGTTATTGCATCCTTCTTCTTCTAGTGGCTTATTGAGATTGAGGAGAGCTTGAAAATTTTGAGGTGACCATCTGCCGTTGAATGGTCCCCATTTCAAGAATCTCATTCAGTCAAACAACAACATTACATTTTTCAGTGATTTTGGACTAGCGTTAGAGAGTCCACCATTTTAAATGTACCGTTAAATGGATATGAAGGAGAGAAGAGGCGGACGAGACAGGGCAGGAAAGGGCTGAGATTCTCTCAAAGTGTATCTAATGACAAAGTCATAAACCTTTTTGACCCCAAACCAACCAAGGTCTACATACATATAAATTTGACATTTTCATTATTATCACACACTTTCAAAACTTGTCTCTCGAAGATCGGATAAACTGATGTGTGCATTAAAATCTGAGGAGGATGAAAACCATTTTGTTTATTATTCACAAAGAGAGATAGTGAGGCACATTTTGCCTTTTCCAGAGTGACAATAACAAAAATGAGCAAATTCCTCAAAAAGGAGGAAGCAATGTTTTTTCTACGCTTTTCTCCGTACAAGTGCTCGTTCTCATTTTGTCATTTGTCATCAAGATCAAATCCTGCTATGGGGTGTCTCCGAATGAAATGAATCAGAATCAGGATTCACTATACATAAAAGTTGCTACATTCTTCTTTTCTTTTCCGAAGGAAATTACATGCCAAGTCAAGAAACAGAGACAGCACAGACACCAAACACTGTTGGTGGCAGTGGTGATGTGTACAAGCATTTAAAACATTTAATTCTATGCAGACAACGCTTCTTATGCGAGTTTGAGAAAGAAAGAGACTGAAAAATTCTTCATCTTTTTCTTCCTCCTTTGAGCAGTCAAAGGAAAATAAGACAGTTGATCTTTGTTGTTATTTCGTTTTATTTGTGTCGCCCTTGTTTTTTATTATTATTTGGGTGTCATTTCGCTCTTGAGTTGGCTTCCTGGTTGTATTTGTAGAGAAGAGACACTCTAAAAGTTTTTGTTGTAAAAGCTTAGACAACAGGAGATAATTGGTAGGTTAAGGTGGAATTATTTACAAGAATATTGCTAACAAATCAAATCATCCGTTCTTTTCTGCTTCAATGATTTGAAATCACCAAATTGGCAATAAGCTCATGGACGGAGCGAAATGACAATTTTAATTCAATACAAAAGCAGGAATTTACAATTGACACCCGGACATTCTTGCCTTTCCTTCCTTAAAGTCCGGATTTTTTATTTGTTCTCTTATTCCTAATCCGTACTAAAGTGAAGTCAAACGTGAAGACGTTTGCCTTTCCATGTCTGATCGCATGTGTAATTGAAAATTGGGCTGAGATCCTTCTCTCCATTTTTCGTCAGAGAAAGAAAGAGTGTGAGTAGCTTCTGATGTACGTACGTAGTACGTACACATTCGGAGCAGAGAGTGATCTCCGGATGAGCAAGAATTTCTGAAAAGAATTTAATTGATTTGAATTCAATCGAATTTGCATAACAGGGAAACAAACAGCTCGAGTCAAGCAGGCGGAAGCCGATGGAATTCGTCCCAACATAACGGATTGTTAAAGTTATCGCTGATACTAATTTGTTGAGTGACATTTGATAAAGTAAATTTTATATGGTTAACATTATTTTAAAATATATCCGTAATAAAAGGAGGTACTAAAGTAGGAAATGTTTTAAAAAAATAAGAATTATTTTCTTCAACCCTTCGTAAATTTAATGGGCTTGACGTGCACACAAGTAAGCTTCCACCACCACCCACTCTTTTTAATGTAAAATGTAAAGTAAGAAGTAACGTGCGTGTGTGTGAACCTGGGATCCCATTCGAGTCTTTCTTTAGCTGGAATAAAAATTATGGGGATGGTAATGTATGCGGGAATTGAGAAAGTCGGTTGTCGGTGGGAGGAAAAGTGTCATAAATTTGTCCAACATTAGATTCTATTACATTAGGTAAAATAAGAAGGATTCACTTACTCCCTGGATATTTTTATTTTTACAGAGTAAAAGTATACGCAGACTGGTTCATTTCCTGTGCAATGCTACATATCTGGTGGTCCTGTATGGATCATGTCTTATTCTCGTTCCCATGCATGAAGACGGCCACACAATTTATTGAGCATTTCCTCCTCTCCTTTCTTCATGAACTCAATTTTTCCACTGTTGTATGTCCTCCACACGTTGGAGGGATAGGTGGGCGGAGGTGGAAAGAAAAGAGAAGTTCCTAGTGAAATGTGAGGCTGAGAAATGTGTGACCAAAATCATAATGAGGATGAGAATGTTGCCATTTCAATATGAATACGCACTGATGATATGATTCTTCCGTTGGTTGATTAAGTTTAATAAAAATTATGTAAGATGCAAGTCAAAGAATTCCGAAATCGTCGTTAATATCGTCATCATTTCGTCTGGGATGGCTTTCGTTCTTGCTGCCCTTTCTTCCTCCTTGGCAGTATGGGCCTAAATAATGTTAATGTTAAAGAATGGGGAGAGGGAGAGAGAGAGAGTGAAGCCAGGAAAGGCTTTTCGCAAATGAACAGGAGGCTTTACATTATTCCCTGGGTTTTGGCCTGACTGCTCGCTCGGACTCAATAAATTACTCTCTAATGTAATCTGTATTATTACCACAGCACTCACTGCAGTCGTCGTAGACGTACCGTTACGTAGGAGGAGAGAAAACTGCTCAAAATAGTGAAAAAGTCTTTCAATTCTGTAGGATGGGTCCTAATACTACTTTACTGCTCGTCTATACGATGTTATGTGATACTGTGCATTGCATACATTGCACGAGCCTCCTTTGTGGAGGTATCGTGTTAAATAACTAAATTGCAGCTTGGTTGAATTGTCCTCTGGTTTTATTCTTGTGTGTATGTGCTGCTTGCTGCTACTGGCGTGGAATTAGACCGACCGACCTCGTCCCACAATGTAGGATCTAACTTTTTGTTTTATGGGCCTTAGTTTATTTTATTGTATTTTTTCTGCGGTGGTGCATCTCTACTTGAACTGCGTAGTCGTGTGGTGGAATAGTTGTATAGTTTTATTGGGTTGTCAAAAAAATGGGTGGGAAATAATAAATGATTGCATTAATTATTGGATTGATGCGCACATGTAGAGACGTAGAAAGAAGGCGGATTTTAAGCAGGTTTTATGTGCCAATATTTATTAGAAATGGCGACGAATTATTTTTGCACTTTCTCCTGCCAATGACAAATATGTGCTTGAATAAACAAATAAGAAAGTCCAACTTCTGTTTCTTCTCATTTCGTGTGTGATGAAAGAAAATATAGGGACAATTTGTTTCTCATTTCTTTCTACCCGCTCCCTCTGGCCTGTTGTCATTCCATATCAAATCATAACCTCGTTGACTCTCCCTGGACGAGGCATGCAGTACCTTTAACTCGTATTTATTTCATATCTCTGTCCTTCTGGTCGTCTTCTTCTGATCATCATCGCCATGATGATAATGAAAAAGAAGGAGACTGCATGGTGGAAGGGGACGGAGGATAAGTGTGTCGTGTCGTTCTCGAGCTACAAGGAAACTTATTGCTTGGAGACCTTTCTCTCCAATTTATTATCACATCGCATCAGATCAGAGATCATCACAAAGTGATGAGGAGACACTGTTTTCCTTCCGGTAACGCATTACGTTGTTGTGTCTCTTTTATCGTCGTCGTCGTCTCGGTGTACTTTTTCCGACTCGTCACTTCACATCGGAGAGCGAGAGAGACGCACTTGACTTGAGTTAGGAATTATTGTAGTTATTACAAGGAGGACGACTTGACCCATCACTTCTGGTTGACTTGCCATGTTTTCTTCCACCTACTACTTCTGCCCAATTCATTACTGAGGACATGTCTGATGGAGGTTGGTTCGATGAGAAAATTACTGTTCGTTCAGAATTAATATGCAGTAAAGTCCTCAAAATTTTTTAAAAAGTCAAATGGCGTAAGTTATTGATTGTCATTAACAACTATTTAATTATTCTACTTTTTAAACGAAAATCAGTCGAAAGTTGGAAAATAATGGATTTTTAAACAAAATCAAGTCATGGAAAAAAAATCATCCGCCAAATAACCTTTCAGATTTTTTACTGCATATTAATTTTGAATGAACAGTAGTTGGGGACCGTGACATGCTTGAGATGTGCATAAGTCTGGCTGTAGGTCTGAGAATTTTATATTTGGGGGTTAATTTTATGTATGTAAACTTGGGGAGAAAGTGATGACTCATATTTTTTACGGGTAACAATATTTAGTCATACATAAGTTATTTTTGGTCAATATTAATAAGCTTCAAGAATGAATGGTTGGTTAGGTGTTATCCACTTCAAGGCATTCCATTGTAGTGAGGATAGAAAAGGTATTTAAAACAGCGTATTTCTAACTGGCCTGCTGGATATGCAGTGGTGAGAGGCAGGGGAAAAGGGTTGGATTAGGTGCATGGTCCATTCATGACTTAAACTTACTGGTACCGTATTATGGGTATAAGTACATATGTATGTAAGGAAGAAGGTGTTAAGAAGGTGCAATACCCAGACCCACGATTTGTATGATGAGTCATCAATCCAATCTCCTGTCTGAATGAATTGTAAATAGTGGTCTTTGTTTTTGGCGTTGTCACCAATGCAGAGAAATGTGCCTGACCAGTTCTTCTCAGGACTTGTGCTAGTGCTGTTTGCAGAATTTTGTTTGCAGAATTTTAAAGTCGAACTTTGTTCAGTTTTTGCCTATGTGCAATTTGTAAAAGTGATCAATTCATTAGAAGTGAAGCGTGCAAGATGAGTGTGCGGTTTTTTAAGTATAAATCTGGTCGAGATTCTACCAAAAGTATGGTCAACATTCACTCGTATCTTTGCAGTTATTTATTTATGTGTTTATTTTAGTGGCTAAATTATATAAAAATACTGAAGTATGTATTTACATACATGTGGAATGTATAGTTCTTTTATCAATTTATTATTCTTTTCAAATTGCAGAAAATCTCGAAGAAGATGCCTCCGACAACTTGGTTATCGACGAGGATGTCAGATCCCCAGAATCCGGGAATAGCAACAGTAGGTGTGGCTCGATGAGTCCGACCAACAACACGTCCACCGCGACCACGGTTGGAATAGGAAATGGAGAAACGGAGGAATCTGATCCACTTCGGATAAATTCAGTCGACTCACCCTCATCACCGCAGAGTGACAAGATGACAATCGACGAAGGTAAGATCGTCTACTTTTATTTACAAGTATTTATTTTCGCAAAAAAACCTTGTGCTTACTTTTCCCTGATAAAGTATTTACACAACTTACCACGGTTCATCGCTTAAATATCATCTTTCTACACGGTATATGTACACATGTATCAGCCAGCATGCATGCATATTTTGTAGGGCATTCATCAGTATGCAAAAAAGCAAAACACGTACATAGTCAACCGAAGGGAGAAAGCACCATACAAATTACACACATAGACACCGCATCCCTTCTTCCCACGTCTACCTAAGTTAACCTCCCGTGTAAAATAAAGTGGCTCGCTATTCATCATGACCACGGATGAGAGGATATTTCTCATGGAGGAGGAAAGTTACTTTCTCCTCACTCACTTTTCCACTCCACTCCACCCAGATCACAATAAAATTCAAATGCAACACCAACACAAAGCAGGATTCGGAAGCATACTAATTTTTAAAGCATTTGCAGACGGAAAATAAATCGGGATTGAGGTTGTTACATAAGCATTTGTGTGGGAATGTGTGCAACCAAGACTGGGTTGAGATGATCCGTTTGTTGGCAGATTGGGATCACCAGACGAGAGAGCAGAGGTTCATTTCTGTTGGGTTGCCGAGGTTAACTTTTAACCTGGAGAGAAGAAGTGACGGGAAAGGAATCGACGATATTTATTAGATTTTCAAGCTCCACCACCCTCACTAGCTCGCCATATTGGAGATATATGTATTTTAGGGATACGTGGCGTGGCATGGCGCCCCACCACGAGTGGGGAAATACACCTTGGACGTGTATAAATGTTTTTCAACCCCACCACACACTTTCTCCACTTCCACTCGGTCGGCTTCCTCGCCTTTTTGGTCCAACAGAAATGCGAGATTGACTGGGTTTGACATGACGAGGAGTGAAAGAGAGTGACGTTCTAGAATTTTGTACGTGGAGAAAGGATGTTTATGGGGAAAGAGGTGATGCTGGTGGTGAATTTCACATTGACGTGGACTTGTTGACGAGCTGAATTTACAAATAGGCAGGAAACAGAGAGAAAGGTGAATTATGTAGGTGATGCGTGTATTTATTCAATTTATTTGTGGACGGGGTGGAAAACGGAATAGAAATTTAGTCCTAATTCCCGTAATTATTTTGGAGGTTTGGATGCATCGTGATTTTTAGTAATCAATTGAAAATGAATCGAGATAGTGATTTCATCCCTTTCTCCTCTAAACTTTGAGCCACAACCAAAACTGGAATTCCTTTGGTGAAATTGTGGGGAAAATTGGTCAATTGAATCCAAGCTTTGCAACTTGAATTGACAATTTCTAACCTCATTTTTCTCATGTCTTGAAACAATTCGTGGCACGTGAATCATTTTGAGAGCAAGTGTTTTTGCAGTTTGGGTAAAATTTTTGTGCGTTCGTTTATGTAACACTTTATGCAACCTTGTATAACATTAGAATATTTTAGATAGATTTTAATTATTTATTAAATTCAGAATTTTAAAAGGAATTTTTAGAGCCGAGAAATGATTTAAAATAGGTTGTTTTTGACCATTTTTGTGATGAGTCATCGACTCCTACGTTAAGGTAGATTACTATTTTTAACATATACAAATTAGCACCCTGGTTTAAAACACCTCTTGTAATTTTAGATTATTTACAAGCAAATGATTAAAGCAACTCCAGATATTCACATAACATTAATTATTACTGCATAAACATTATTAGGGTTAAAATTTTGTATTTTATACGTTATCTAATTTCCATTATTTTTTATGAAAACAGTTCAGCATGGACACGAGTAAATAATTTTTATCTCTTAGCGTGTAGCCTAATTACTCGAGAAAAGGTTTCATGTTCCCCTGCCTTCCACCCACCCTCCCCGATTTTTCTCTCCTTGACAAGAATTGGCTAAAGAACAAGGGGCAGTAATTAAGGAGAGGAAAAAGCAAACTTATTTAGGAAGAAGGAGACACATTTCCTCAACAGAAGTGAGACTCGTTGACTAATTTGTGATCGTTTGTTTCTTTCATTTCCTGCCTCACTTTTCTCTTCCACTTCACAAACCAAACCGAACAAAGTAAAGAAGAAGGCAGTCGTACATAGTGCTAAGTAATCTTCATCGCTTCGTTTCATTCCACTATCCATTCCATGCTTATGGCATATCATCCTCCGCTCTCTTTTCTGCAAAGGAAGGAAAGAGAGCAAATTGGAAAAAGTCAATTATCAATTAGTCACTGGGACGTAGCATGCAAACATTTTGTGGTTTCCTTCAGCGTCAGGGAAGACATTTTTATCTACAAAAGCGTCACAATTTGCATCTTTTTCTCTCATAACTGACGTGATGTTTGTGTTTTCTCTGCCATTTCCGAAACATAAGGTGCCCTGCTTGCGTGCGTGGATGTGAAGCTATTAAATGGAGCACCTACTTTTGCCTTTGTTTCTACATGACACGATCCACCGACTTGACGTGGTGGGGACAAGAAGAAGTTCTTAATTTCTCACAAGCTCGTCGGCTCAACGGCAAGATTTGATCTTGCAGTTGAGTGTAGTGTTAGTTGGTCGGTGCTATGACTAATTTTTTAATCAGGTCCTATTTTTCTCCCGTTCTCTCACTTGACTTCACTTTTGCCTCGACTTTTTCCTATATAATGAGATTTAATTAAAAGCCTGATTCATTCCAGTCACTAGGACCATTCTTCAAAATCCTTTCACTCTTAATTTCTCTCCTCCTCAGTTTTAGGCGATCCTTTTCTCTCGTGATGGGGAAAAGAAAGGAAAAAATTATCCCCATAATTAATTTGCCAACCTTTCATCATCGTCGTCACGACCGGTTGGTCGGTGTCGGTATGCCGTGCCATGCTCATGCTCTCTCAGGATTTATGAGTGCGTAGGAAGAGGAGGACTTTTCTTCGTGTTAATTTACACCGATCTTTCTCTCGCCGAGTTGGAAAGGAAAGTTGGGAATTTTTCTGAGTGATTCTTCAAGGGTGGTGTACCCATGGAACGTCATTAATTTCGTTGGTCACTGGATAATTTAATGCTGATTTTTTAAATTACATCCGCATTTCATAACTTTAGTTAGGTAGTGGTAACGAGTATATGGACATAAAAGTATGTAAAAAGTGATGCGTTTCTCCACCTCTTGGAAATAATTCGCAGAAAGTATGGATCCCTCATATTTTAACGAGTCACGTCACCAACAGACCAACGAGTAGAGCAGAATCCCGTGAATTCTCAAATTTTCTTAGTTTTAGTTTTGAAGCTTTGGATTGTGCCGTGCCGTGAAAAGTAAAGTAATCAGGGTTGGATTGGAATACCAAATTTATCTCAGAGTCTCTCTTTCTGACATGGTTTTGCTTAATGTCCGCCTTCCAGAAGGAGGAAGAGATCTGCTGTCTGCACCACCTCGTTCCTCATTCCAAGGTTTTGGTGGGTCAATTTCATCCCGTGGCGCAAAGGACGTTTGCAGAAAACCTGAAAATATTGTCAGGTTTGGAATAATGAATAAGCAAGATGAGCACTGTTCTCGCTGGCGTCCAAAACTCAAACTTTTGTTCTTCAGAGACAAGGGGACATTTAATTAGATCTCCAATTCATTCATCCAATTGCACATCTTCATCTTGTCGTGATGCTTGGTTGGGTTTGGTTTTTGGATCTTGATTCTTCTCTTAATTTCAAATGAGTTTACTTATTTCCACCCCGTTTGCTGCTTCCTATATAAATAAATACGATAGTCCTACGACGGATGTGAAACCTATAAGTACATTTATTTCGTACATATATTTGGACTCCGAACTTGTTTGTTGTTTCCCTTTTAATTTTGAAGTAACTCAATGACTGATTTGTTCTCCTTTATTACTCTCCACCACCACCACTACCGCTCTTTATTCGAGTAGAAATCCATCTAAATTCTAAATTTGTTTGGGGTTTGGAATTGTTAAATTAGGGATTTCTTCTCTCCAGTCTTGATACAGTGGAGGAATGGGCGAAATATAATTAAAACATTGAATTGGGGAAGATTATGGCATCATTTAATGAAATCAAACTCAAAGCATGTAGGCGTCATTTATTTGTCCAAAGTTTGAACACTATAAGAGAGAAAGTTGGCGTCACTTTGATTTTTGGAGATACATAAAATCTATTCCAGATTTTAGAATAGCATTTTTTTCGTATGTTGATTACATAAAAATAAATAATTTATATGTGGGACGCACTTATTACTTATCTAATGAAATGATGCTGACGACAAAACAACTTTGAAACAAATTTTGATGGGGAAAGTCTCCATTGAAACGTTGATGGTGTGGGGTGGACAAACTTTGTCGCTGTAGGTACACAATCTCACCACTCACACAGCTTGGTTTTGGCTATGGTTTGGTTTGGAACGGGAAAAGGTAAATCTTCCAGGGCAAAGTTGAGTGCTTTTCACGGGCCATAAAATCGTGAAAATTGCTACCTTTACAGCCCTTTTGAGTTTTGTTGTACAACTTTATCTCTCCGGCTTAGCTGTATCACCGCATCATTGTACCATTATCATCATCGTGCTCATCACGGGAGAGAGATAGGAGAGCGAGAGAGCTTCTCCCTGCTACCTTGGCTTACTTTCACCATTAGTTGTGTGCCTTGTTGGATGGAAAAATTGATATTGCTCTCTCCGTGAGACAGAGGCTATTGTTATTACCTCTCTCAAGTGGTTAACTTTATGTGGTTCCTCTCTCTTACTTTCTCTCCTTCTTGGCTTTGTAAATAAATAGGGACTGCCTTGGTCTGGACAAATATTTAGCAGTGGAGACAGAGATTGTGAGACTGTTTTAATCACAACAGGGTGGTAAGAACGACTACGGGGTAAAGCATGACTTTAAGGTGTTCGCTCTTTCATGTATAGTGACGTGCACTGTTAAGAATCTTATAGAGTCGCATATATCTGGTGTTGAGTTGGTAATAACTTCCTACCCGATTGGTACTAGCTTGTTTCTAAATGGTAAATTTTTCATTATC